ACCTGCTCTTTCTCATTTTCCTGCAAACAAAAACTTATTCCATTAGAGTACGCCCAAGGACACTAGAAACACATTATAAAACACACAGCGGCCTCTAGATTGGTGATGTTGTTTTGTATGCATTAGACAAACGAGATGAGTTGAGTTAATGAGCTTTAGAGGTGCTGGTAGGCTGATTTTATTACTGTTGAAGAGAGCCGGTTTAGCTGTTTCCATTTTTTTTTAATGTAAAGCTAAGCTAACCGGCTGCTAGCTACATACAACTAGCTACTGTGTGGGTGTGGTTAGGATCTGACTGACGATTCAAACAAACAACAGGTCACGTTTTCACTAAAATGCAGCTGGAAACATTCTATTTTAACCCACTTAAACAAATAGACAAACATTGAAATTCCTTCTCTGGAACCATCTAAAGTGTTAAAATAGTCATTCATAAAGGACTGCACCACTCATAGTTAAAGGTTGATTGAGAAAACAGGCCTACTTCTAATTTTGCTTCAGATCTTCCACTGTTTCTGTCTCCAGCCCATCGATCTGTATTCCAGTGTTGAGATTGACTTGTCTCCCAGTGACAGATCACTACATCCTCCTTTGTATGCATTCTTAATCAAATAAGCTGTTCTTACTTTATTAACTTGGACAAGCTTACTTCAGATAAGCCTGTCGCTTTAAGCCACTTTAGAGTGGGGAATCAGCCCCCCGGAGGTGATGAGAGTTGACTCTGGGAGCTGGAGATGTGAGCTTTAGGTCGCTGTCTTATTGTCTGAGGCTTGGCCCGAGGCTCCAGAGAGAATCACTTCCTCTAATGGAAAACTATTGTCTGCCGCTGAGGACATACAACTGTGCAGAATACGGATCAGCCTATCTGGACTTATGCACAAGACAGAATGAAGCTCTCTATCCCATAGAAAGCTATTTTGGAATTGTAATATCCACTGAAGTCGATTCTGATTAAGCAATACATCTGGGCTAGACTGTACTCTTGTGTGAAGCTTGGGGGTGTTTTCCAGCATCATAGTAGTGAAAAAAACAGAAAAACAACATAGGAGAGGGGAAAAAAATGAACTTTTCTAGCGTACTGCCCCATATTTTAAGTCCGACAGTGGAACTAAACATCTAGAATCGTCATAACAATGCAACAATAAGGCACTTTGTGAATTATTTATTCATCGGAGTGGGTTTGATATCGGTCGACGAGCACAAAATTGTGAGAATAGGAGTGTCTTTGTTAGAATTACGATGCCCTTCCCTTAGCGTAACACACATTATTTATTTACTCATCCTTCCTAGGAGATGACAGGTAATGTCTAATGTAAGAGGTAGACACATCCCCTCTAACAACAGTCTGAATCGAGAAAGACGCAGGTCAGGTTCACAGTCAGTATGTAAAATGTATACGGCGCTGGTGAAGCTCTGAAGGAAATGTTCTTCGACAGATCGTCCCAGAGGATGAGGAACTCCATTTGCCTGACGGTTCTCCACCCCCTCCCTCCTCTCTTTTCTCAGCTGAATGATTATGTGTGATACATGCATTATCTTTTGCCCCCTTTTCTGCATCTCAACAGGTCACTTCATCTCATCCCCTGCAGGATTCACCTCAGTCCAAGACTGCGAAAATTTGAAAGTCCACTGTTTGGCCGAGGGCGGATCCTCGAAGCCGGATGGTATTTTTCATCAGGATTCGGTTTGACATTGTGTGAGCTTGAATGTTTGGAGGGAAGCTTGCGTGGGTCATCAAGTCTGTTGGGGAAGGGAAGAAAAAAAAAAGAGAGAGAACTATATAAGGTTTAACAGAAGCAAATCAAAGAAGGACATTTTCATTTTTAGGACTGTCCTTTGTCACATTCTGGTGTTTGTATTTCAGGTGTTTCTGGCTAAGGCAGTCAGTCAGGCATCACATTTCTCCACCTAATACAAGCGCTCGGTGTCATTTTCAAGCTGCAGCAACAGAGACCCCTCTGTGGTTCAGATGAGGGTGTTCTTATGCACTAATTGCACAGGTACACGGAGAGGTAGGGTCTGACGGGACTGGAATCCCCTCGAGGGGCTTGTTGGAAGGGTATAACTGGGGAGCCCAGGGTCAAGCTGAGTGGAAAGGATTTCAAGAGCTCCGGAAAAATATTTTCATCGCTAAACGCCCATCAAGAGAACATCGAGTTGTCTCAAAGTCACATTAATATTTGATATGTCATGATAACGCCGTGTCCTCTGCAGAATATTTCATTTTGCACTTCTTAAGGGTTTATCAGGTGACATCCAAACAGGTTAGACCATCGTCTGGAAATTTCTTTGAGGGTCACGGCTTCATGTGGGCGGAGTTCTGTTGGTAAGACTGTAACTAACCCAAACCCAACGTTGATAAAGGTGCTTGTAGAACATAATTTAGATTAATATAATTATAAAATGTCAAAATTCAAAATGAGTTATTGTCGAGACGTCGTCATTTTCAAAAATCCGGAAACACATCCAGATTGGAATTATTTACAGTATTTTACTCCATAGTCCCATATGTTATCTTGTTTGCATGCTTATTTAATGGTTTATACGTTGGTGTCTGCCTCAAAACCAGTTTTATTACGTCTCTGAATGATCCGAAGAAGACTCAATTTAAACCGCTGCAAGTATTTCTTGGAACCCTTTGAAGATCAAATCTTTTTGACCCTAATTTCACCCCATTTGAGTTTCATGAAGGAACATGAAACACTGACCAAATCAGCACAGACACCAGAGACGTATCACGCACTGGTTATTAGCTAAAAGTTAAATTAAGTAATTTTCTGCACACTTCTTGGGAGCTTCCCAGGAATACCCAAGAGTCCCCAGATCCAACCTTCCAGCGTTTTCAGACCCGTCTTTGAGCTCGTGCGTCTGTATTTGATCATTTTGTGCATGTATACATAAAACATATCCTTATTTAACTGCTTAAACTGCATCATATAAATAAGTGCAGCGTTATACATAATGTACTACACAAGCAAGATTTCTTGGAACCTTTTCAAGAATCCAGATTCAAATCATTCACAGTATTTCATTCGACTTAACACTCTCATATATTCTCTTTTTTTTACCCTTTTATTTAACTGCTCAGTTCATTTTAAAATCATAGAACATCTTTGAATGACCAAAGGAACACAATTTAGGCTCCTGCTCATATCTGCTTTTGAAGCTTTTGAAGAATCCGACCTTGAAGATCAAAAACTTTCGGCCTTAATTTGGCCATCTTTGAGTGTCAGTATGTTAACATTGAAAGAAATCAGCGCTGACACCACAGACATACCGTGCAGCCTTTAATAATTAAGGGAACTGTTCAATTAAGTAATTTGCCTTCTTGGAAGCTCTCCAAGAAGACTCGCAAGATCCTACCTTCAATTTATTTTAAATGTTCAGCCTTTATTTAATTTTGTATACATGCACACAATCATCAAAGATATTTAAAACGATTATATGGCATCCTATAAAGCAGTACATCGTTCTACATGTACTTAACGAACGTTACTTTTCTGCAAATGTCTCGGAACCTCTTCAAGATTCTGCATGGATCACCAGATTCAACCTCATTTGATCCCACACGATATGACGAGAGATATAAGACACGTCTTTTAACAGCTGTGAAATTAAGCTATTTGCCCTCGTCGCAGACATCTACTGCAGCTTCTCAACACTCTCTGAGGTTCGCCAAGGTCGTTGACCCTCATTTGATCCCGTAGTTTCAGTACGGTTTAATGTTTCGATGCAAAACACCATAAACACCTGACACATAGTGCAGAAAACAACCTACCTTTAGCACCAGTGAGATAATTGGACGGATGGAGCTGTGTGGCCGGGACTTGGACCTAGAGAGGAATATAAACAACAACATGACCACGCAAGTCCACATCATAAACACACTTTACAGCTAATCATATAAAAAAACAAATGCCAAGACACATCATGTTTTATGGTTCAATTATTGTAACAGAGGATATATTTTATCAAAGTCTTAGTATAAAGTTATTTCACTACACAGTTCGTTGACATAATTTTTTAAATATTTAAACTTTTTTTACATGTTTTTTTTTTCAGATGTCTAATTATTCCCAGCTTGGTGGCTAGATTACGGACTTAACAGAGACAGGAAAACATATTACATTGAAGTTTAGAGAGGGTTTATGAGCAACTACGTTAGGGGAGAGGTTAAACTGGGTCGGGTTGTTTACCTTGTGGGACGGAGGTCTTTTTAAACAGCTACTGCCATCCTCTCTCTGCGGAGGTCAGCTGGGGGTCATTTAGAGTCTCTTTAATGGACGGGGCAAAGGCAGGCTCTTTAAAGCGACTGGGAGAGGGTCACATGACCGGAGGAGAACAGAAAGAGCAAAACAAGAAGAAGAAGAGAGAGAGAACCCACCCCCCATCCCACCCCTCACCTCCACCCCCCAACCCCATCGGACTCCCGCCACCGAGCCGAACACGGTCCCTAGAGGAGGAGGTCAAGGAGGCTTTGGATGCGGTGCGCCGCGAGCCATTTCCGTCAGGGTAAACACTCCGAAAGTTAATGCGTGTTTACTGATGACGCCTGACGCGATCGGCGTTCGATTCGCAGCGAATTATACGAGCAAACAGAGCGGGATAGAGTTTCAAGAGACGCCGACGTCGTTATCGCTTAAATCCTCTAAATCTCAGTCGGAGAGATTTTTCCAACAAAATGCATCACATGGCGTTCAAATACAAATAGGAGGCCGTTCTTATCAGATCGCCAAGGTCGGCTCCAAGGTCACGAGGCTGGTTGGACGGGTTGTAGGTCTTGTTTTTTTTTTCGCCATCTTTCTACCCACTTTGAATTTTTAGCACATGATGTTTTATTTTGTTTTGTTAAGATGATAATCATGGCGGTTTAATTCATTACAGGGCTTCTACGTGGCGGCTAATTCCAGACTTATCCAGCATTTGGGTTTGTTAGTTTAAATTATGTGGCTTTTTTTTTTTTTTTAACGAGTCCATAATTATTCTCTTCAACACAAGCGTTTTCTTTCAAAATGTTTATTCAGCATCAACAAAGAAGAAAATATTAAAGGGCTTACATAAGCTCAAAATCAATATAGTTGAACAAATCTCTAGATGGAAATGATCGCCAATTCACCAGCATGTGATTTAGTCTCTTAAAACTCATGATTAGGCCTACAAAGTGAGAAAAGTGTTTAAAAATCAAAAAATGACATCAACATTTACTTATTTAGAGCATCTAAAAAAAAACAAACAAAAAAAAAAACGTCACAAACATTAAAAGGCTCCCGGACCGGTTCGCAGCTCTAGTTGTTCGGTGTACATAAAGTATGCACAGCTATTTATAGGTGTATTTAGGTGGATGTTAGGGGGCATAATCAATAAACACAACTACACAGGCTTCTCAGAATAAAACAGCTGACAATATCCACAGTTGCACACCATGCTTTTATAAGCCCTTTAACACTAAAGAACTATTATTTTTACAAAAAGGAGGAAACAGCAATACAATATGTATACAGTATGACTTTTCTTCTTCTTCTTTTTTTTTCAGTTTGTAAATGCTTCATTTACAAGGGACACAATTTCACCAAATTACCCCCCTCAGAAAAAATATCTACAGTACTGCACTTTCCTAGGACTAAGCTACTACATTTTAAAGTGATCAACCACGCAGTTCAAGGTTTAAAGAATAGAGGGGGGGTTAAATTAAGTCGCTACTGGCAGCTGTGTAGAAAGATCGAACAGCGTACAGTGGCTCACTAGTCGTTACCAAGTGGAATAAGCTCTGATACAACGTCGGTCCTCACGATCACATAGTTGAGAGAGAAACTTAATGTGCTACGGAGTCTTTCTTAAATCTTAACGTCCATTTCTTCTGGAGGAAAAGGATAGATTACCTAAATTGCTTTACACATTTTTACCCAGTGGGAGTATGTTTTTATAATCTGGGGGGGGAGGGGGTTCCGTTTGGAAATTCTCTTTCAATATCTCACTATCACCGTTTTCATTTGAATTATTTTTTTGCGGTTTAGTTTTCAATTCTAAAAAGGTGGGAGCGTCCATAAAAAATCCATTACTTGGGTTGAAACAGCCATGAGGACTCAGGTGCGGGTTGTATAAACAGTTCAATATCTGGAGTATGGCTGATCTCTGTACACTCCCTTGGTTGTTCGTGCTGACGGAGCCTTGCCGCGATTGTTTGCCCACTCTTCCTGACCTGATTAGGGAGAAGAGAGAAGAAACAGATGGGGAATGATTACAGAGGCGTTGTACTTAAATCATGCACTCATAACAACCTGTGTAAGTCGTGCAGGTTTGATGCAAACATTGTAAAGATGCTCCCTTTGGTGGAAAAAAAACATAAAAATGCAGCAGAAAGTTTGGAGCACTTTGAGTGTCTGCTATCGACGGCACTCATAAAAACAAAAGCAGCGTTTCAAGCTGAGAATACAAGCGGTGACTCGCACCAAGAAGCTTGACTTTCACCTGGAAGGATTCATCTCGGATAATTGAATGAGAGGATCAAATAGCTACTTGAAAAGGACCCGTTTAGTGGCTCCCAGCAAAAAGGTCACAATTACCATTAGCCCAAATCAGCCCTGTTCACCCCCCGGTACTGTCAATGTGAAAGTGCTGGTATCGATGGCACTCCTTGTCTGATCTTCAGCCAGCGCTGAGACTTCCCTAGAGCTGAGGCTCACAAAGGGTTGTTTTTTTTCCTGAGTACAGGCTCTCTGTTGGCAGCACATAGCCAATACCCCTTAATTAAACCTGTCACCCTTCTACTGACAGTCACTTTGAAGAAACACACCAAGGTAACCTTGTGTTTTGAGAACAAGGATGCACATCAACGCTGTTTATCTGTTTCCTTTGAACTGTCGCCCTCTCTTCTGTGTGACCCACGCGGCAGCAGCATTTTTTTTATTTTTTATTTTTTTTTATGTGCAGGTAGGAAACACTCTAATGAGCCGGAGGTGCTTAGTTCTTCCACTTGTGCGGTCAGTAAAGTTGGGAAAGTTTTTAATGGCTTTGACTTACTTCCAAAAACACATTCAAACCTCTAAAGCATGAAAAGAAAGGATATAGGTCGTCGATCGGGTTTATGATGCAAAAGATATAATCGCCATTCTTACAGTGGTTTTGCCCAATATGTACTGATATGTATTATAAAAGGGAGAGAATGTCTCAGAAGAAAATCCCAGCAGCCTCTTCTGTCAAGTCTGCTTTGAGACATAAAAAAAAAAATCTGTCCAACACATAGAAATTATGCATTGCAGTAATTAAAAAGTAGATAATTACTGCATATTTGCCTAAAAACTTTAGAAAGCCTTTATGTACTGCATAATGAATATTTTTTATTTAGCTTTAAAGCCTAAGTAATCCAATTTGAGAGCTGAACCACGGCACAAACCAACCCATGAACACATTATTCTCATCTTTGCATCTACATTTTGAGAACTTTAGAGAATTAAAGTGCGAGCAGAAGAAGCAGACTGTGAATAACTTCCAGTTCACACAAAGGCCACACATACATTATAAAAGATGGATGAACCTTAAGCCGTACATCAGCACGGTCAACCGCACAACCGAACACGGCTGTGTGTTCGTTCTGCTATCGTTCCAGTGCAGTCTGCAGCAGACATGACCTTGGCCCACTTCTCACTGTATCTCGTCACGAGCTGACACGGGATTGTTGAACATTATCTCAGTGGTTCTGTCTGAACTTTGCAGCAACTGAAGCTATTTGTGGCTCTTTTTTTGCAGTCCGGCTAAACATCAGGCTGCTCTGCTTAGATGATTGCAGGAAGGAAGTGCAGGGATCAAACGAAATCTGATTGACTGCCAGGCAAAGTTTGGCAACCGTGGAGAACGTGATGATGTCCACAGTGAGAACACACAGAGGTTAAAGTGGGATTTGTAAGACGAGGCTCGCAGATCAGGCAGTGGACACAAGGACCGTTTCCTCTGTACTGAACAGTTAAAACTGTGCACGTTGTGTTCTGCGGATGTGGATTGTCCAAATTACCAAAGACTGATTCTGCAAAGACGTGTTGCAGCTACACTTTATGTCAGGTTAATTTTTAAAGTTCTGCCACAAAGTAAATCTCATTCGCCTCCTTGTAATGATGGCAGACGACTCAAATTAAGTCTAACTATCCAAATAGCCAGATTTAGATAGTTAGACTTAAAGAGAGAGAGCAGGATTATTATTTTATTTTATTTTATTTTATTTTATTTTATTTTATTTTATTTTATTTATATTTATCTAGGGCTATTTAATATTATTATCTTCTGCATGGTTTTAGAGCCACTGACATTTCTGCCTTTTATAAAAAATTAATAGTGTCCTGTCTGTTGCTTTATTTTTTATTTACTTCAGTTCTCAGATCAGTCCATGCTCGCTGTACATGCGACTATACTGCAAATAATATCATAGTTAGGCTGCAAAACTGAAAACTGTGTAATAATCCACACGACCTGCCTGAAAAAAAAACAACAAACATTATTTGCTGCAAACAGGAGTGCATGCAGCTCCGACGGTGTTGAGTTCGTCCTGAGCTCTGGCCGATGATCTCAGTGTGGATCTGTGCAGCAGCAGCTCGGCTGTTTGCTGTGCAGGAAAACATTAATGTGGCCACGTGAGATCACGACGGCTCGTCAGAAGACTGAAACAATCGGCGACGTCACCCCCGCCGTGCAAAGCGTCTGAACTTCTGTGTGACGCTGCGGCTGTTTAATAAAGTTAAATAAAAGAATGCAACAATCCAGAGCTGTTTGTTCAGCACAATGCAGCGTCTCAGTGGGATCTTCAAGAGTCGTATAGGAGCTGACGATACTGAAGGAGACAGAATTGAGCGTCGGCGTGGCACGATTTCGATATCAGGCTCCGACCCAATTCAACCCCAGAGGACGCGATAAATAAATAATAGGAATCTTTGCAGACTACATTTTAGTTTGTTAGGAAGCTGCTGGATCTTTTCACAGGAAATCTGATTGTTTTTCGTCTGAAAACGTAAAAAAATTACACTTAAACTCACATTTAATCAATGTGTTTATGCGCCAACTCTGAAACTACGGAGCGCTCTTGATTTTCTGCATTTTTTCGCATCCATTATAAGACTGATAATAAACTAATAAGCTGTGTCTCCACAGCAGGCGTAGCGCGGCAGCACATTAGCGAAACAGCAGCAGCAGCTCTGGTGCACCGTCTGTGAATACACAGGAGGTACTCAGGCACAGGATGAAGCTGTAGGTCACCTGAATTTTAGAATCGCTCAGAGCCCAACACCAATCACGGCAAACGTACGCATAAAATGCAGGAAAACAGACTTGAAGCACTGAAAAACACAAGTTATAAGCGGGTATTGGAGTGTGGTTAAGCTCTTTACAGTTTTGATAAGTAGTTGTGAGCTGCAGCTGCCATCGTTTCTGATTGTGACATGTTGGTTTTAGATTCTAGAAAAAATGCTTTTATAAAATAACAAAAGGAAAGATCTGATCTTGGTGTGCAAACATTGTTTTGGGAGGATAATTTCCTGCAGTTTAGTTAACATTAAAACCACTGTTTTGGTAATCATTCCTGGTTTTGAGTGGCTTTGTTCCTCCTTTATTATCCAAATGAACTGAGGAGGATCTGATTTGTGATAAGTCGCTTTAAAACAGGCGTATTCTGAGGCAGCACAAAATTAGTCAGGTGCTATGACAACTGAGATGAAGGCAGCAGAGCAGAGTCGGGAAATGGAAATAGACAATTGACACAATAAGTGGTGGACGAAGAGGAGAGGTCTGCAACTCACCGTATGAATCATAGGATTCCCCACTGTGTCCGTATTCATAGTAGTCGTCTGAGCTGTGGACAGA